TCTGTGGGTCAAGCTCATGAACCACCCTGAGCATGGAAGATAAGAAGCTGATCAGTGGACAGCCACAGGAGAGGGACAATAACCCGAGTGAGTGGGACCAGAGAGGAAGAACTTTCTCCATCCCACTTTTTATCTTAAACTAGGGACAAAGAATGGTTTAAATCCTTACAAGAGAAAAGATTAATTCATGCTGGAGGCTGGGTTACAACAACTCTTCTTTAAATGGTTTTAACTTCTGTGGTTGATTCTTGCTGGAATCAATTACAAAATGTATGATTAAAAATTTCAGTGCCAAGGATTTAGCTCACTGGTGCCACCACCTGCCTCACAAGCACAAGGTTCAGAGTTCAATCTCCAGTACCCCCCCCAAAATATTTGGGTTTTTCTATCATTTTTCTGTATCTATTAGTACAAATCTTGTAAAAAATAAAGTTTTTCATTTAATATTTTCCCTTGTGCTAAAAATTGAAAAAATAAAGCACTTAGAACTCTCCATAGATTTCCCATGAAATGCACAAGTTTTTAAATATTGGAATGTATAAAATATCACCAATATTAAGGTACCTGAGGGCACACAAAAAGTCTTTCCTCTTATAATAGTTTCTCTCATTCAAATCCATAATAGGTACATATTCACATCAAATAAATTTAAATATACAACATATTCCTTTTCATAAGGTGATAACGCCAATTTTGTCATAAAGCTATATAATTGGGGGTGTATAATACCCATGTTTATTCTTTAGAATATTTCTATTCATAAATTATTAACCTAATTTTATGAGTTTTTATATTAAACAATGATTACTTAACACAAAAACATCAAAGTTTAAAATATTGAATTTTTAACATTTATTGAATGTTTATAAAAAAGCATCAAAATTTTCAGTATCAAGCTTTTTTCAGTGTACAAAGTCTAAAAATAACAACAGAAATAAATGCCTATATGAACTACAAGGGAAATACTGATAGAACTCTACAAAGAAGTAATCTTTCCTTCAATTATCACATTTAAGGTAGTCTTCACACATGATAACAGTACATTCCATACACATGTATTGCTTACACTGACAGCACATGTGTTTTGCCTTCCTGTCATTTTTGTAGAACATACTTGACATCTTTCTAGGCTTGCAATTGTTCAGGAGGTTATTATTATATTATACAATGTGTAGTTATCAGGAACATAAAATATCCATAAAATAAAGTATTAAATTCTCAATATGTGTTGCACATTTAGCATAAACATCAAGGTTTTCACATTATCTGTGTAATTGTTTATAAAACCCGAAATATAACATCAAAAATAAATTTCAATATGAACTACAATGAAAATACCAGTAGAACTCTAAAACAAAAATAAATTTTGCTTCAACTGTCATACCCAAGGCAGTCTTCACACATGATAACTGCATGTTCCAAGCACACATCTAGTTTACACTGATAGCCCATGCACTTTGCAGGAAAAGGAGATATCAATAAAAGATAAAATATGCATGACTACTTAGAACAGACTTCAAAATTTTCAAATCAGCTGTTTACTTGCTTATGAACAATAAAAGATAACATCAGGAATAGACACCTATGTGAACTAGAATGTAAATACAAGAAAAAGTTTATCACAAAAATAATCTTTACTTCTACTGTACAAGCAATGTAGTCTCCATACATCAAATCTTCATTTACCATAAACAAGGATCACTTACATTAATAGCACATATGTTTTGTTTTCCTAGCCTTTCTTATAGGCCACAGTTAACATGTATTTGTTTTCCAGTTTTTGTAGTAGATCTTTGTGATGCTACAGCTTCCTGTTCACCTATCAGCTCACAAGGGTGGTCCAGAATTGTTTACCGTAGTGCCCTGTGCAGAAATATTTATTTTTCCTCTGCTGTAAATGACCTCTTATGAGTATAAGACACAACCATTGTGTAAAATACAAACATTGGTTAAAACTTTGTGTTTAAGGTGACATCATAGTTGCTACATAGCTCATCAGCAACATCTACTCTGCTACTAGTTTTCTTGTAGAAAGTTTTCATGTCAAGCTTCCCTTTTTCAAGCTTTCCCTATCAATATTTCCATCATGGTGAAATGTTGACATCAGTGGTAACAGTTTGTTTTATTTCATATAAGAGGCCAATGCTATATCTTTCTGAAATCCAAAGATTGTATTATACAATTCCCTGTTTTAAAATTGCAACATTTCATTTGGAATTTCTGCTTTGTTCATGCATACAGTTCCTATGCTGGTCAACTTCTACTCTATTAAGCAAATGTGACATTAATTGGAAACTGGTAAACCAATTGTTAAATGTCACATTTGATTATTTTGAGTCTGGAGCAACAAGTCTGTTCACAACATCAGTCCATTTATTAATATGCAAATAAGGACCTGGTGGCTGAGTTCCAGGATAAATTTCTAAATTGAGACCATAACGAATCTTCACATCTACAAGGCCATATATTTTCATGCCATATTTTGAAGGAGTTTTTTTTGCATATATTGCCCAAAGCTACAGCCACCATGAAATGCTGCCAATTGTAGATCAATAGTCATGCATTTGGATGATGTGTAAATTATTTCCCAATTTCTCACAGATATCTTAAACAGTGAGTGCATAGCAGCCAGACTATCAGTACCTGTTCTTTCTTGGCAGATGGCTTTGTCATCAAACCTCAGGCAAGTTTGAAGGGAACCAAATCTCAGTGTCATCATTATTTTACAAAACTCAAGTGCATCCACTTCCTTTTTCAATCAGTCTTTTACATTCCTGTGATTCCCATGAGAAAGCCCTGCTAATACAGCAGACCTATGAATGCTTTCAGTTCAGGTAGTGAGGTGTCATAGTAAACACATGTTTGAGTATGGCTACTGTTACATACAGAATATTTTACTTGCATTTCACAACATCTTGTAGCATTTCATTTCTTACAAATGATTTCCAAAATTGAATGGCAATGCTGGTATTCTGCCAATAGGCTTCACCTTGGCCAAGATCCTCACTATATGTTTGGACCTAGTTCTATCATTGGATCATTCCATTTGATTGCATGACCATTTTGCACCATTGTAATTAGTCAAGTATTTACTTACATTGTGTTTCATTCATTGTCTGAATCAAGTAGCTCTGCATTCCCTGGCACATGATTGTTGGCTCAGATGGCCATTGTCAAAGTCATTATCACCTTCATCCTCCATGCATGCATAATCTGATGATTCACTTTTGACCCCCAAAACTTGCAAATCTGGTTTTTCATGTGCTATTGTACTAAATTTGGCTAATTCTATCAGAAAAGTCAAAAGAAAACATTTTTAAAAACAAATCTTAAATGCACAGAAATTTAGGAATGACCATTTCATGGGTAAAACTCACATGTTGCTACTATGGAACTCTTGTACACAACTTTCCATTCATCTGCCAAGTGGGTGAATGCACAGATGGGTTTTGCTTCCATCAGGCACAGCTACTATGAGACACACCCACATTCTGTTAGGGTAAAATACATGTTTACTCAACAGAAGTGTAGGGTAGGTGTATTTTACCCCTTGTAATGCTCAAAAAAACTTACTCAAAACCCTTCAGATGGAGGATTATGAGCATAAGAATCCTGCTTTGACACTTTGTACATGTGTACACAACTTGCTGTTCATCATGCCAAGTTAGTAAATACAAAGATTCCTTCCTGTGTACCCCCAGGCACATTCACTGAGACACACAGCAAGCTACTGTTATGTTAAAGTACAAATACACAGTAGAAAAGAATGTGAGTTGTAACCTGATGTTATGCTCCTTTAGGGGTAGAAGTAATAATTTTATCATGTCCCACAGGCTGTTTGAGAACATTTAAAGATGAATGTATGTGTAAGTGATATCATAAAAGCTTTATTTTCATTATTTAATATGATTTTAAGGCAGTAAAAATAAAAATATTTATCAGGGAATGTATAAGGGCATGATTAAATGTTTGCCTACATGTGAGTAAAAATACCTGGCTCTTTAATTAGCCCAAATATCAGTAAAATATTGTCCATATGACTGAAAAAGAGCATAACATGATAGAATATTATTAGAAAACTTTCTTTTATTTCACTAGATAATTAAAGCTGAAGCTCAAAGTTATTCTGATAAAATCTAGGATCTCTATATATGTTACAGAGAAAGTCAGACTAAGTCTTTTGCTTTATGGATACTAGTGAGTAAGCCAAAAAAATCTGTCTTATGCAGTGAGTTCTGGTATGATTTTAACAGATTCCATAGTTTCATTCACACTCAGATTAAAAGAACTATCCTAGTTTAAGTTTAATTGAGAAATTCTGTGCTTGATGAACTATAGACATGGAGACACAAAAACACACCTGGGTCTGCTGCATTGAAAGTGCATGGTCCCTGCTGGAAAATATCCACCTGGGTGACCAGAGTCCCTCTGAGAGGATGCAACTCAGCTCTCCCCTCCTGGTGGCTTTACAGGTGGATGTTTTGCCTCAGCACATGTAAATCTGATTTTTGAGGAAGACATGCACATTTTTCATGTTGGTGGATCAGATGCTTTCCATGTATGCTGTCTCAACATTGTTATTTTGTTTAGGGGTGGCTCCATTTTTTTTTCCACACTGGCAATAAAACTCAGAACCTTATGCTTGACAGGCAGACATAGCACCACAGAGCTACATCCCTGGACCTCAGTATTTGCATTTGTTTTCAATAAATGAAATAGAGAAATGAGTTAATAAATGATCCAAAATGAAATCTCATCACATAAAACAGCCAGTCCTTTCAGAAAGGTAAGCCACCAAGGGAGAGATGTTTGTCATAGGAGAGTGCCAGGTGACTCCGTGACCTACATATTGGCTTTGTGAGCCACCTCAGGTGGCTCTTGAATGTTTGCTTCCAAAAGCCAGACATGGATATGTGCACCCCAGACCTCCCCAAAGTGACAGCTGAGAAGACTATGTTCCATCCTGGAGGTCCTGTGTCCTGCACAGACAGGATGGAGTGTTAGATGAAGGACACCCAATAATCAGGCAGGGATAGCAGCAGTCTCCTCAGACCCCTTTTCATGTCACCATTCCTCAAGGTGTAGATGACAGGATTCAGGATTGGAGGCAGCACAGTGTAGATCACAGAAGGAAGCCTATCAATAACTGGGGGTGTATTGGAAGGTGACCTCAGGTAAACCATGAATGCAGTTACCATAAAAACACTAAAGACAACGAGATGAGGGAGGCATGTGGAGAAAGCTTTACACTGACTTTTTCTGGATGGAATCCTCAGCACAGTGGAGAGAATGTGAACATAAGAGAACATAATGCAAACACAACAGGACAGGCTCAGACAAACCCCAATTCCCAGGCTTGGATAGACCACCAGGAGTGTGTCAGAGCAGGAAATCTTGAGTAAAGAGGGAACATTGCAGAAAAACTCTGGGATCACAGTGGAGCCACAGAAGGGCCCAGAAAACATGCCAGTGGTGTACATGACTCCAAAGAGCCCGGCCAAGGCCCAGGAAACTCCTGCCATCAACATACAGGCATCTCCATTCATGATGGCCTCATAGTGCAGGGGACAGCAGATGGCCACATAGCCGTCATAGGACACGGCAGTGAGGATAAATATCTCACCTGCTGAGAAGGAGGTCATTAAGAGGAGTTGTAAGGCACAGCCTGGAATGGAAATGGAATTGTTGTGAGTCAGACTGTTGAAGGTGAACTTTGGGATAGGGACAGACACCAGGGAGATGCCCAGCAAGGACAAGTTCTTCAGGAAAAAGTACATGGGTGCTTGGATCTGTGGGTCCAGGGTAAGGACAGTGATAATGAGAAGGTTACTTATTATGCCAACGAGGTACATTAGCAGGAAAAAAAATGCCACATAGTGTTTGCAGCTCTGGGTCCTCAGAAAACCCCAAGAGAAGCAAACTGGTCACCAAGGTGGTGTTGACCATACTAGAGCCTCCTCACTTCCTGTCAAGGTGAGGACATACAATAAAGAGAAAAATAATAATCAGTCCCAGAACCATGATATTAGATTCAGAAA